TCTTTCTCTTCTTCTCTTCTCTCTTTCTCTCTCTCTCTCTCTCTCTCTCTCTCTCTCTCTCTCTCTCTCTCTCTCTCTCTCTCTCTCTCTCTCTCTCTCTCTCTCTCTCTCTCTCTCTCTCTCTCTCTCTCTCTCTCTCTCTCTCTTTCTCTTTCTCTCTCTCTTCTCTTTCTTCTCTTTCTCTCTTTCTCTCTTTCTCTCTCTCTCTCTCTCTCTCTCTCTCTCTCTCTCTCTCTCTCTCTCTCTCTCTCTCTCTCTCTCTCTCTCTCTCTCTCTCTCTCTCTCTCTCTCTCTCTCTTCTTCTTTCTTTCTCTTTCTTTCTTTCTCTCATTTTCTTTTCACTCTTCATTTATATTTCCCTCAACAGTCAGTTTTTTAATAATTGTTTTCTTTTACTTGCAGGTTGAGTCTTACAAAGCAACTGTTAAGGAGCAAGTAAGTAAAGTGTCTTTGGATAGGATGCACTCATTTCAAGGTTTGAAAGCTTTTATTTATAATTTTTAAATGCCTTAGTTTATTGTCCACTGTTTTTGACATTAACCTGATTATAAGTTCCAAGTGACAGTCAGAGAGACTTGTAACAGTATTCTAGGTACAGGTTGTGAGTGCCAGACACTGAATAATAGCACTAAGTCAGAAGTGACTGCTTGAGACTATTATTGTTAAAAAACATAGTGAGTACTGTATGCTGTATTATAGTTAAAGACCATGTATTGAAAAAAACTGCATATTATAGGTATGCATGTCAAGGCAATATTCAAATAGTAAGCTATAAGTAATTATAGCTTACAAAGGAGAGGGAGGGGATAAGTATGAAATTTATCATGTTTTATCATATTTACCTGTTATTTTAGTATTAATCTGGTATTCTTGACTGCAGGCTGAAGAATTGGTGATAAAAAAGTTCCCTGAACGCATTATCCACTTCAACAAGCTTCTCAACGAGACTCCCTTTCTCTGCGAAGACCTCACCTCAGTCCACTCTGATCTGAAGATCCCTGTCCCAGAACCACAGATTATAAATAAGTAAGATGTTTAGCCTGTTGTGTTTGTCTGTGTAGGTAGAGTCAGAATGTACATTTCTCATTTTAAATTGCAAATGTGGAAAATAAGAAAAGAGGAAAAGAAATGAAGGATTATTATATCTTGTTGGAGAAGCAGGAACAGCAACTAACCAATTTAAAAATTTCTTCACTAGTCACGATGGAGATCCTCCTGCTAAGAAACGCAAGGGGGTCGACGGCACAGAAGAAGCAGTGATGGGTGCTAAGGTCTTTATTCTCCCCTCAGGATCAGTCCCCATTAACTCCCACATCACCCTTATGGTCGACACAATAAAACCATTGATTCGTCAGCTTGTTGAAGAAGCCAATTTGGTAAGGCTGAAGTTTGTATTGTGTCTGTATGATTACCATATTTTATATTTCATATTTTATATCTGTGGTTGACAAATATATGGTAGTCAATAGAAATAACATACTGTGATTATGTGTATGCTTATACATCAATTACAGCAAATATGATCTTATATCAAACTAATTTTGTAGTGTTTTCAAATGTATAATAGGGCGTAAAACATATATAAAAAAATTGATGCTTTTATGTTCAGTTTAATCATTTCTTTGTTTTTAAGTGACACATATTAACCTGGAAAATAGTAACAAAATTTTAGTGTTTGCACTATTATGAAGATGCAGTATTACTGCAACTTATGTCACATTAGTCAGCACTAGCTGACTAAGGAAAATTGTTTTGGTAGAAGTTTTTATTGTATGTATATATCTTTATACAAGCTATCAGTCAGTTTGATTTTAAGCAAACATTTACCAAGGTTACCTAAGGCACAAATGTATGTGCTTTTATGCATCCCTGTGTACTTGTGTGTTAATTTTTATGTTTAAAAAATTGGATACTCAAAAAATGTTAATGACAACTGTGTTTGTGATTTGAATGCACAATTATAGTCATTCCTATTTCGATCCAGGGAATGGAACCCAGTTGAAATAGGCCTAGAAAGGAAAAAGAAGTTGATATGACTTTCATTTTTTTACAAACTTGATTCCACTAAATTTTCTTGAATTCCAGATCAATGAATATATAAGATTTGTATGATATTTCATATTAGCTTATTTTCTATGTCCATGAAATCATCCAACATTGTGTATATATTGTAGGTATTTAGATAGTTTAAGAATTTTGTTTCAAAATAGCAAGAGCATTCCTTTAAACAATGATTAACCCACTGACGCTGGTATATTTTGAAGCCGAAAATAATAATTTTGGGGCGGCTATAAAATCGGCTCGGAATCTGCCCGCGCGCTGGCTGCGGCCCGTTGCATATTTGGAGTGTGACTCAGATCCAATGTCACACCTGCAATGTTTAGTTTTCCGGGTGTCTCTTATATGGGACACCCGTTGTAAATGGGTTAAGATAGACTCAGGTGGCTTTTGATACATTTTAGTAATTTTGAGATTGGCTTGTTATTATTTTTAAGTTTTTGGAACAATAGATATGATTTTTGTAGTATTTCCCATTTTTGTCAACACTACAAACTGCTAAATACAGTTAAGTACTGATGTGTACCACCTGATATTTTCTGTTTTTCCTTGGTAAAATGCAGTATATACTGTATATGATGGAAAATAGTGTGATTAACAAATTTCTACCCAAAAATATAAGAATTTTGAATCTATGTGTTGCATAACATTCACAATATTTTCTGTGAAGAAGCACATTAGGTTATTTGATCACTGTGTATATATGATATTTTCTGTAAAATATTATATATAGGGATATTTGTTATCTTATGATTGCAACCTTTTGTTGTGTTTCAAAATTTTCCTTGACTTATTCTGTTTAAACTTTTTGTTTCAAATTTTCCTTGACTCATTCTGTTTAAATTTTTTGTTTCAGCTTAAAATGTGGGTGTCATTCCTTATTCCCAAAATTGAGGATGGCAACAACTTTGGTGTTAGTATCCAGGAAGAGACCCTTGGAGAAATCCGGACAGTGGAGTCTGAAGCTGCAGCCTTTTTTGACCAAATCTCACGATACTACATGACACGAGCTAAGCTGGTGTCAAAGGTATGTTCATCAGCGACACATTATTTTTTTTACTTTCATAAAGATTTATTGTAAGCAAATTTTAGATTTTTGCTCTAAAATTTTAGGAGAATTTGCTGATATAGACTCAGTTTTGGCACTTGCCTCAGCAGCTTTGGACAGAATTGTGACAAAAACTTGAATTGTGCTATTATGCAACAGGGATCTTTCATATATCAATATGCATTTCAGATTTTCAGTTTTTGTTTGTACTAAGACTACTACCAAGAAGTAGAAACAAAAATTTTGTGTTTATATATTTCCTTTCAGTTTTCCTTGTCCAAGATGTATATTTCTCATTTTTAGGAATCTGAATCTTTACACACTAAATCATGTTGGATTTAAATTATCTGAATATGTATCTGTATTAACCCATCAGCGACAGGTAAAAATTTTGTCAAGTTTACGTATGCACCGGCTTGTTGGCGCGCACCGGCAGTTTCCCCTGTTTACGCCCGGCTCGATCGGTAGTTGCGAGCGACATATAGCACCTAAAAGCTTTTATTTTGCTAAAATTTATAAAAATATTAAAATTTTGAAGGTTTACCTTCACTTTAGGTGCCATTGCCTAAAATCTTTACCATATAAATGAAGCCGCTACTACTGGAAAAAAATAACCTCCGTCCGACGAGCCAGTAGCGCGGAATTGGGCATGGCATGATGCCCCCGGCGTTTGGTCCTCAACAACTATGGCATGTACATACATGACACCCGGCGCCAATGGGTTAACCCCCTGGATCCGGTTACAATGGTTATGTGGCCAGCATCCCAGGCGTGCGGAGCATAGGCCGGGTGCGTACGAACACCCATGAGTGGAGAGAAGACTTTGTGCTTCCCCTTTGAGAAGTTATTTTGTGAAGACTTTTTCAGCTTTATCGCCATTTTCCAATGTCCATATTTGTCTTTTGATTTGCTTTATCCAGATGGTAATTACTTATTTTCCTTGCACAGACTCCATATCATCTCTCTATGTAATAAATAGCTCAGTGCAAGAAAAAATATATATAACATTTGGTTATTAGTGTCATATATCTCATTTTTTTGTAATTTTCAATTTCACATAATACAACCTGTGCTGTCAGTCACAGCGGCCAGGAATACGGTGCGCAGCATGGAAATGGTGTCCTCCCTGGAGCCGGCGCTCTTCCAGTCACTGCTTATTCACGATACATTCCACATTCATTTATTGATGGGAATAATGCTAAAGCCTCCTTCTAAGCACCAAATGAGTCAAATCACAGTCGTGGCGAGTCTTTTCCATCACCCTGGCCTTTGCTCTTGACACTTCGTTCACGTCATCCAAATAGCTGTCCAAGTTTTTCCTTGATGTGATCACCACATCATCCAGATCCAGGGGGTTAATTTTAGAGATGTTAATACTTAGACTTTTACTTTTGCCAAAATATTTGTCCTAATTATTCCTCTTCGTTTGCAGGTAGCGAAATATCCACACATTGATGACTACCGACGAACTGTTGTGGAGTTGGATGAGAAAGAGTACCTGTCCTTACGCATCACATTGTCAGAGATCAGGAATCACTATGCCACACTACATGACATGATCACAAAGAACATGGAGAAGATTAAGAAGCCGCGGAATGCTAATTCCATTGAAGCCATGTATTAGAAGTTAAAAAGTATTCCTAAACTAGACTCTTGACTGTTTCATGTCCTGAAGTGGCTGTGTGTCACTGACTAACAATTGCAATGCTGCTCATTCTTGAGGATTGCTGTGTTGATGACATCTTAATTTTGGCCGCTCTGCTCTAGTTCGGTGGAACACATTTGTTGAAATTTCATTTAGCACATTTGGGTTACATTGTTTTCTTGTTTTGAAAAGGGAAAACATTCATATGTGGAGAACTCCTTGGGTCTTCAGATTGACTTTCTGAATAGTGTAGAGAAATATGTATTATATATATATATGAAGGAAGGAAATAGTGTACTTGTATTTTTTTCTGTGACTTTCATAATACTGGATAGTAAATACTTATTCATGATGTTTTGTATGATTTTACATGCATTTCTTGTGGACTTTTTATTTTGTAATGAAATATGAAAGCCAAAGGAGTTGTAGGTGGAAGGTTGGGATAGTAGAACATATTTTCAGTGTTTTAATGTTGACTGTTTTCTTTCTTTGTTCAAGGGTAATATAGTGATATTCAGTGTTTGAGGCATAGCAACTGTATATATACTGTTGGCAATTTAATGGACTGACAGCAGGTTTCTCACATAAACCTAATGTTAGACCTGAAAGTATTTTGGGAGGGAATTTTCTATATGAGAGTTCTTTGTCTTTGAGTATGTGTTTCTTTAGTTGGGGAATTTTAAGATTTATTATTTCTTGAGAGAGGATTTCTTGAAGTGTCAATATTAAGGTCACTCAAGAACTTGGGTTATTCCATATTTTTGTTTAGTGTTTTCTCTTTCACATGACTGAATATGATGTGGCCAAACCTTTTATCATAAAGCCCTGTTCTTTTTGTGCAAGTACTATGTACTTCTGTCTCACTGTTTTTTTTAATGTGATAAAGATAAAAGTAGAACACTTTCTTTTTTATGTCAAGAAATTTGAAATTGTTATTTTAATCCCATTCTTGGTTCAACTTTCCACTGGTGTTTATTCAAGCTTCACACTGACGTTTTACATGATGGCGTGTGTACATGCACTGTTTGATTAATTTCTTTACACATATGTTTAGCCATCAATGAGGCAATTAATAGACAAACCTCATCTCATTTGTTTGAACCCCAATCTTTCAGTTTGTTACTATTATTACATTATTAATGTTATTCTTATTATTGTTATTATAAAGGTAATAACAGTAATGATAGTAATGAGAATTACTAACTCAGAAAATTAACAAAGTTGGGGTAAATATTTAAGTTCAGGTAGGCCTTGCAATGGACTGTTGGTGACAAAGCACTTCTGGAGCCAGCCATAGTGAACAAATCTCATTAGTGCTGTGAATAGACACTGTTTGTGGTTTTATTTTGTTTATTCATTCAGAACTTCACAGGCACTTTGTCACCAAGAAATCATTTACTAGGCCCACCTAATCAAAGAATTCCCAAAAAAGTTTTTGTTTGTTACTCTTATGTTGTTAATGCTTTTTTTAAATTTCCATCATCATCTTCAACCATAACCACATTATTAGTGAGGGCAGGTAGGCCTGATAATTGACTTGGGTATGAAATTCTTCAGAAATTAATAAAACAAAACCACATAGCAGAGTTCACATATACTGCTAACATCAATAGAGTAAGAAAACAGAACCACAGTGGATAGTAAATGTATAAAAACACTCCCAGCATCTACAGGCCAAGGTAGTCTTTTCACGTGTAGTTTTCTTTCATTGATTACAAAATATTGATTAATTTTCTTGTTCTTAGAAAATATTAAATAATGATTATAGGGGAAATATCCTTGGGTGCAATGCATTCTGTGAAGATGAATTATATTTTACAGTCACTTCTTTTGAGGGATTTTTGAGATAATGAAATATGACCTGTGTTGTTATGAATAAGCAGTAGATATTTCTAGTGTTTTTCAAATGCATAATTAAGCATTGTATGAATTGTGATTGTAGTTGATTTTATTGATAGCTTTACCAGTTCTCATCTGATATAGACCAAACTTGTGATAAATTGGGTTGCCAGGAGAGAACTGAGTCTGGGTAAATTTGAATGTGATGATGACTTTTGACCCATACCATACCAGGCTTCATGCTGGGCACCACATCCATTTAGCAGCTCAGGAAACTTGTTTTCTTGTGTCTTTGAATTTGACTGTGGCGTATATGATTTTTCAATAAAAGAAGCTGAAAAGAGAATTTAAGCAAACTTTTGAGGGCTGCACTTCCTCGGTGACAGTATTCAGTGCCAAACATGTATATGACTGTTTACTTCATACAAGATACAGGAGGCATAGCTATCCTCTGTTGGCTAAGTGAGTTAATAGTTCTGGCTTGATCCTGTTTGACCTCTGATATTTCTCCCCCAATCCCTTGCTCATTGTTGGTGTGGGGTGCTTAGGAGATGGATACTGAGGCCCAAGGTAGGGGATCACCCCTGCCTTGGACCTCAGCCCTTGCCTGAACTACTTTTGGATGTTTTTTCCTTCTCCCCCTTTCATTTCCTTCTCGCCTTCATCCCCTTCTTCTGTCTATTTCCTAAGGTTTGAGATTTGTGCTGAAAAGAAGGCTGGCTGGCTTTGTGTCTGTCCTGAACAGCCTTTGTACTATGTTTGGTCTTCCCTCTTTACCTTTTACTTTTTACCTTTTCCTTCCCTTTTCTTTAACATAGTAACCTACAGCACTAAAACCATTGACATCTAACATTTTTCCCTAATTATAAACTTATTTGATCCCTTTTCACTACAATACTTTGTCAGAGTGCTGTATGACCTTTGAGGTCTGGCACATTTATTTGTTTTAACCATTAACCTTTAACCCCAAGCCTCACCCTACCACTATATTATGAATATACTGCTAATGACCTTAGATATTGATGCACTAGAAAAATTTGAATAGATGAATAGATAGACATGAAATTTTTCTGTTCTGCAGTCTCTAAACTATTGCTTGGGCAGCATTTTAGGCACTACAGAATTGAGAAATTTTATTTTCACAAAATGATGGATTCTGCAAAGCATGTGCTAATAATTATTAGCTTTCAAACATGATCAGAAAATAAAGATTTTGCATGAGTGTACATCCCCCCTCCGCCCCAATTCTTGCTTGTTGTCGTGGGGGGCTTAGGAGACAGAAACTGATGCACAATGTATGGGATTGTCCCTGCCTTGGGCCTCAGCCCTTGCCTCAACTGATTTTGCATGGTCTTTTTTCTTCCCTTTCCTCTTCCACATCTTCATCCCCTTCTGTCTCATTCTTAAATTAAGATGTGAGAGCTGTGCTGAAAAGATGGAAGGCTGGCTTTGTGTCAGTCATGAACGGCCGCCGGGAGTCATAGGCAGGGTATTTGCTTGGTTAATTGCCGAGCCATTACCCTGTATGAGGACACTGAAGGGGTTTTCTGTTCCCATTTTATGTAGCCTCAATATGGCCAATAATGAATATTACTTAGCCTTAACCTGTTAAGCGTCACCCTCCGCGATCTTGGGCGCTTCCATAGCGTCACCCTCTCTGGGCTTCATGAACGATTTTTTGCTATTATTCAGTTCTTTAAAATTTATTTGCTTTTCTATGTTTTATTTTTTAATCATTTATAAATTTTTACATAGATTTACCTATTTAACAAATGCTGTAATAATCAACAAATTATGAACAAAATGATTATATATCTTGATTTCTTTTTATTCCGTAAGACAAATTTTTATTCAAAGATCGGAGAATGTAAATATGAGACAGACGCTTGAAAAAATCCAGCAAACAATAGTAATTATCCCATTTTTCTAATATCTGACACAAATATATAAGTATGAAAAACGTACGCACACAAAAAAAATCAAATAAACAAAAGTTCAAAAGTTGCAACAACTCTCCAAGTGTACTCAGAATGTTGATAGATGATGTTCCTATGGTTTTCTGTATGAGTGAACATTATATGCAGTCAGAGACAGCTTCAAAGCTTTTAAAGTTGAGAATGATATGTGCCGTTGAGTGTAGAAGGTGAATGAAAAAAATAAACTAAGTCGTGGAAGATGCTTAACAGGCTAATAGGGCATTAAGGCTTGCCCCTTCATCAACTAGCCTATCTGAATTCGATTTTGATGGTTTTCCGACCCCTGCCAATCTTTTGACCATGGCTCGGACCAGTGATGATAATACCCTCCTTGACATTTACTAACATTATCCCTTCCAAACCTCTTCCTCTCTCCCAACCAGATGTGATCGCTCCCGTCTTGTAACAGTCAGATCAGAAACTGAATATATTTGCACTATCAAATTTAACTGATCATTCTGGCAACCCAATTCCTGCAGAACCACATCCAACCCTTAGTACTTGTACTGGAACTCTCTCTCTCCCTAGCAAACTGCCCAGTCGATACCCAAGATTGGTCAGACTGTGGAGAAGACTTATTAGGATGCCACAAAGACCAAGATGTGAAATCACTACATTGCTACACCATTCCTCCTAGAGGTCAACGAAAGAATCCGACCAACATTGCCAAAATTACTTTCCGTACACATGACCTTCCCTTACGTATCTACATTTGTGGACAATCCCTCCCAGTTCGACCATACCAACCCCCTCCCCGTCAATGTCAAAACTGTTGGCGCTTTGGACATCCTGCCAAACACTGCTGTTCCACAGACCGATGCCCCATATGTGCCCAACCTGGTCATAACCGATCAAACTGCTCTCCACAAACATGTACATGTGCTAACTGCGGTGGCCCCCATAATGTATTTTATAAAGGCTGTCCCACTTACAAGTTTGAATCTGAGGTAGCAACTCTCAGATACAAAAATGGTCTCACTTTACGTGAAGCCAGACAGGAAGCATGTCGACAAGGTTTCTCTCATACTCCATACTCTAGCAACATCGTTCGCTCAGCCCCTCCCCCTCCACCCCAAGATGTCCCCATTTCCACTTCTACATTCTACCTCCCTCAGACCAATCCTTTTGCCACTCTAAAGCCAGACACCCCAATCTCAACCACAGCTCCAATCTCAACTACAGCCCCAACACCATCCCCTCTCCCTCCCCGCACTACCCGCAGTAGACAGACTAAACGTTCTAACCCTTCTTCCCCTACAGCACAGTCACCTCCACCTACCTTTACCTTTATTCCTGAGACACCAGTCTCCTCTTCCCCCTCTCATAAGAAAACCTTTATCCCACAAAACTCCCCAACCAACTCCACTGCAGAAACAATTACCTTCCCACAAAACTCTCCAACCAACTCCACTGCAGAAACTGGATGACATTCAAAGTTATATGCTTAAGAGACAAGATCCCATAACTCGTGCTCCTTCCACACTTGAAGTGATTGCCGATATTCATACCCCGCCTACTAATATTCCCCTGACACCCCTTCCTCCTACTCCCTCTCACCACAACCTAACCCCCTCAATTCCGTCCACCACCGATATCCATCCTCCCAATACCCATCCTCCTGATATCCATCCCCCTCTTACTCACAACACCCCTACACCCCTTCCTCCTAATCCCTCCCAAGACAATATATCCCCTTCAACTCCAACTATCCATCCTTCTGATATCCATCCTCCTACCACTAATACTCCCCACACATCACTTCATCCTACTTCCTCCCAACACAACCCACCCCCTTCAACCCCAACTATACGCACATTCTCCCTCCCTCCATCCCCTCTATCCTTTCCACTCCCTTCCGGATACACACGGGAATCACTCATGTCACAACAATGCCCTTCCCCAGATTCCCTACCTCCTAATACCTCTCCTTTACACCCCCTAGCTCCTCCTTCAAATTCCCCAACACATACATTGGTATATTCGCGGTTTCCGTTACGTCCCTCTTTCAGTACGCTTTAATACAGCATGTACCTCTGCTTTTCCACACCTATCCTCCCTTCAACGACCTCCCAACATATCAGACATCCTTACCGAATC